TCATTCACAACACCTGTCCCATCAACCAGGAATCACAATCAGAAATACTTTAATAATCCCAGGGCGAAATCACTTTCGTTACATTACTCCATCTGTATTAGAGTGACTATAGGACCATTTTCATTTAACACAATTTCATACAATATATATAATTAGGGGGGCCCTACCATCAGTTTTGGTGTCCTTAGCCTGGAAAACGTTGAAGACCCCTGCCTTAGGGTATTTGGGATGTCCAGCATGTCAATAATTGGAGATTCCTATGCACTTAAATACAACATTTAGCTGCATTGTTGTCATTTTAAGTGGGCTAATGATGCCCCAAAATTCAAAAGAGGCTCTTTAAAAACATTATTTTTTTTAAATCAGGCTATCTGGGGACAGTAGGCCTAGTGGTTTAGAGCAGTGCCTTGTGCTCTGAGAAGGTTGCAAGTACCCATTTCGATTCGCATAGCCTCCCCTCTGGGTTCCTGAGCAAAACCCTTAACCCACACACGCTTCCCAAGGGGGTGAGTGACATGCAGAGAGTGAATTTCCACAATTTTGGGACAATAAATGGACTTACATGATCACATTACATTATCTGAAACTTATAAATATAAGGTGTTTGTTAAAAGTATTAGTGTTTAACAACCATCACTGCCTAAACTATTGACTTACACAAAAAGATCCTCAGTTAGTCTAAGAATAATGTTCAATTAACCAAAACTTTACCTGGTTGACAGATGTAAGGATGAATGACAGAGGCCTGTACACATGTAACCTCCACCATATCTACTGCAAGCTGGATGAAACCGTCCGAATTCAGCTCAATGTGACCAAATCAAGTATGTATCTCCCCCAAGTTGTCAGAGTGTGAGTCCAGGGGAACGGCAGTGTTACCACACATGTCCTCTTTGATTAATCCTCTTTTTTCCTATGAAGAGCGTAAACTGCAGAGCTTCTGGGATGGGACAAAAAGCGTGTATGTGGTGCTGCAAGGGACCACCGTGGTGTTGCCTTGCATCAACAGACGAAGCATCTGGACAGACTGGAGCAACGAGGAGGAGGACCAGCAGGCGAGGAGATGAGCAAGGTTTATAGATCGGCTTTCATTTTTGTGTCATTTCGTCATAACGATTGCGAGCTGTGTTACGTTTCCAGGTTGTCCACTGGGACCGGCAAGCGCCAGGAGTCCAGCATGACCGTGCCGATCGGCTGGTGGACCTTTACGCCTCCGGTGAGCAGCGCAGCTACGGACCTCTGTTCTTGCAGAGGAAGATGAACATCAGCAGTCAGGCCTTTTCGCAGGGTGACTTCTCTCTCACGATAAAAAATCTCCAGGTATGCATGCATGTGTGAAGATGAGAAACATATACACCATTGTATAATCATGTTCCAGTGGGAGGATAATGTTTGCTGTCATTCATATTTCACAAAACTGCACATGCAGAAGTGTGATACAGCTTCTCCTAAACATGTGGAAAACCCATCAACTATGTAGCTCTCTTTGGGAAAGCTGGGAGCTGGCAATGGCAACATGTTGAGCAAGTAATGGATATTTTTCAAATATCCATTACTGTAAAAATGTCCATGGCTTTATATTGGTTACTTATTTTCCAGGTGCAAAGTATTAATATTGGTAAAAAATAAATTCCAATACAGTATTTGTTTCTTTTTAAATTCTTCACTATTATGTTATTCTTATACACTTTTGTGTGACAATAAAGGCATTTTCTATTCTAAAAAGATGAGTTAAACCATAGAGCAGTTAACAAGTAGAAGATTTCTGGTTGAAATCTGGTGTTAAGCAATTAAATGCTGTGTAACTTTGTTATTTAATCAAATAACTTTCGGACTGTTGTGTGTGGTTCCGTGAACACACGGCGAACAACAACTGAAAGTACGAAACAAACTTATTTCATGGTCGAACGGATAACTGCACACAAATGGAATCAATTCACATCATCAATTCCCCCCCACACCGCTCTCTCCATTCATCTCCTGGTCACAATCTTTACTCACTGTAGCAACAACGTCCACCTCTCCCTCTTCAGTTCTTTGAAAGAACAGGTTTATTTTTTGAAGTTTTTTTTTCATTCTTCCAGCAGCTCTTTCCTTTTTCTTGTACGTAATGGTTAAGGTTTTAATCTACGCTCTGGATTACCCTTAATTCCAACAATTCCAAGTCGTAGTGTTCTTTTAAGATCTTTATTGCGGTTTGAAACATATTATATGAGTGTATTTTTTACCAGCCGTCTAATGAACTGTACACAGTTATTAACATAGCAAATAAAAGTACTACTGTCTGCTTTGCCATTGGTGTCGTGTTTAAACAGCTCACCATCATGTTGAAATCTGGCATGTGTTGCGGTATAAATACAGTCCGGTGCGGCCAGTCTTTTCAGGATCAGGTGGGTTTAAGAGGAATTTTTTGCATCATTACATCTGCAACTGCGTAGGGGGCCTACCTGGGGTCAGCGATGGGGGCCCCCAAGATTTTATAGGCCCCTAAGCACCTGCAGTCTCTGCTTACCGATATTTACGCCATAGATGTACACAAAGAAAAAGAAATGATTAAAAACCATTATCGGTAAAATGATGCAATGATATTACAGCGTGGATGTTTTGTTTCAGAACCATAATCTATCGTGAAGAAGATGGAATGAGGTCAAATTAGCTTTAAAACAGAGCTGCACAGATCAGAGTATCTGATCAGACATCGAGTAATGTGCCGGACAATCAGTGGAAACTATAGATGCAAGGTCCCTGACCATGAGTTCTTGCTATAGAGGGAAATATAAAAGTTATCATTCAGTCAAGTGTGCCAGCCTGGTAAGGCTGAAGAGGAATTACCCATAATGCAGCTTTTTTGAAACCATAGCTGTCAAGGTATGGAGTGAATTTTGGTCCATTACTGTGGCAAAATTGTGCAAATGGCAATTTGGAAAAAAAAATGTTTAAATACAATTCGAAATAAAACTTCTTAACCAAACAAGATTTCCTGTTTTCTGAATTGTTATTTTTCAAATTTCTCCTTTTCAGATTGCCTTTAGCAAATTGCTTCCTTCTCAAATTGTTTTTCTTAAAAAAAAAAAAAAAATGATATATGAAAAAATCTAAGAAATCAGCAAAGTTAATAATTTCCAGATTGTATTTTTTTTTTCTTATTTCCATTAAAAAATGTGTTCTTTTCTTGTAATGATTACGACTCCATAATTAAAACTTGTCTTTTTAAGAATAATGTTTTTGTGCCGCATTCGTCAGCCTGGCTGGCCAGGCTAGGTGACGGTAGAAACACCATTATGAATGACCCCGTCATGCCTGGAAAAATATTGCTCAGTACAAATGGACTGTCTATAGAAGACAAAATAACAAAAATAACTTGGAGCTACACAAAAGTTATTGTAATTTTGTATACACAGAGTGCATATAAAATGACATTTCCATTGACATCTCATGACATTTCCATTTCTTAAAGTGCAGCAGTAATCAAATATAAACATGTGGAGAAAAAAAACACGGTGCAAAAAACGTGTTGATATGGTCAGTTTGATGTAGAGACATGACAAGACATGATTTAGAGTACTATTTCATCACTACTGACTGCCAGAGGTTAGTGCTGAAAACACTGAACATTCCCTTATGGCATGTGCAGTTCAAGTAATTATACCAACTGAATCACACCTGTGACACTGGATGACCACTCAGTTGTCGGCGGGGTTGGGAGTTGGCAGAGATGAAGTCCTTGATGCAGACACATCAGGCTGATGCCTCTTTTCCAGTGGATGGGCTCTCTTCCCCACCCATGCCCAAACTGGTTGTGGAGGAGGACATCATATCTCTGGCTGCTTCTTTCGCGGCATTGGCAACTCCCTGGCGCACTCATGTTCGCCATCTCTGAATCTGTTCAGGATGCTGGTGGTGCAACTGCGGTGGTTGGTTTTAGTGATATAGCGCTGCAGGCCTTTGGGCTTATGACCAGAGAGCTTGGCCGTTTCATGTCTTTCCTTGTATAAGCTGGTAGACAGGTCTGGTTTGCACAGTCTCCCCTGATCGAAGCATGCCATAAGACCTTCAGAGGTGTCCCAGTTGTGCCAGGGCAGGTTTTTGGATCAGCTCACCTGGAGGCACTGGAGCGGACTGTTCAGGCACGTCAGACTGAACAGCTTTCTGGCCTTTGCAGGAGCATAGCCCACTTTCCTCATTGTTCGGGGCACCCGGCTACTACCCCCAGCATTCGTCCACGACCTTGGACTGATGTTAGACCTGGTGGTTTCTATCCCTGTGAGGTGTGGCAGAGACCAAACAGAGACTTTCGTGAACCAGTCTGCTGCCCAGTTAGACAAACCTGGGCCTCAGTTCCTGGAC